TCCCTCCCCAACTCTACATCTAGCACGGCTTCAGTGACGTGAAGGTGGAGGACACGGCCAAGGGCCACATCGTGCTCCTCCAGGAGGCAGAAACCCTCATTCAGATTGAGGAGGACTCCACGCACATCATCTGTGACAACGACGAACCTTTGAGGGTGAAACTGCGCGACCTGGTTCTCAAATTCCTGCAGAAGTTTTAGCTGAGGGACATCGTGCGGCGCTGCAAGGAGAGACCCCAGAGTGCCAGAGCTAAGAGCTTTCCAGAGGGCGACCCCAGGGAGAGAGGGAATTTCTTGATATAAAGAGACCAGTAAACACCTTCCCCTTCATGGAGAAGCAAGCAAGTGTTTTTTATCTATTTTTTTTTTTAATTTTGTTTTTAACTGGTTTTGGAAGACTTTGGAAGGGATTCCTGTTCTGTAAAATTGGGAGTTGGAATCTTACCGGAGATACGAACTGCGGAGTAAATAAATACAGTGTATATTTACGAGGTCAGGGTGAAATTGTGTGCAGACACGGACATTTCTCTGTGTGACCCTCTCAGCAATGGACACCCGAGTCCTTTACCTGAGAAAACTCCGCAGGAATATTGAAACAATGGCCTTTTAGATTTATTTTTCTCCCCGCTTTCTTCCCGGTCACCAGATCCAATTTCCTCTCTGTCCTCCACCTACACTGTGATGTGTGTTTCACTGGCACGGAAAGGAACGAGAAAGCTGGTAAGGCAAAGATTAGCAAAGCAAAGATAGAAACAGGGGGCTGTGGGGGATGTGTAGAATAGCTTTGAGGCGCGAGAGCCTGGCCGGTCCCTGCGGAGCGGAGGGATTTTGGAGAAGCTGTGTGCTTCAGCCACGCAAGGTGTTTCTTGAGGCTGCACCCCACCACCTGTTACCACCAGATTTGTCCACCCAGCTACGTGCTTCTCACTGGGATGCACAAAGGACTGGTTTCTCCTGGGTCCCTCCATCATCAGTGAAGTATCTCAGGGAGATGCTTAAAAAAAGTACACAGGGTAGTTACAACTCCTAGTGCTCGTGAAAAACCTTTGAGATTGAAGTGCCTCTCGTTTCTACCTTCCAAAACCCTCTCGTTTCAGCCCCCACGATCCCAAATCCTGAACTGTTTATACAAAGCCATCAGTACCGCAGACTTGGGGAGGGTTTTCACTCCCCAAATCACATATTTGGGGACCTAAACGTAGTTAATAGGATTGCTTTTAAGAGCGACCGGTTTCTCAGATTTACAGCTGTTTGGCTTTTATTGGATTGTTTTGTATTTATTTGGTGTTAAAAATAAAAAGCATAGTAGGGCTGCCAAGGAGGAAGCACATTCTGTGTGTGTATAAGAGCATCTGCACGGCCGTTCCGCATCCGCCTGCGCGTGCGTACGCGCGTCTGTGAGATGCAACTGCCCCTTCAGTGCGGGGAGAGGACGGCGGCGGGGGAACAGCGCTGTCGTAAAACCCGTTCGCTGTGGCACTTTTTGCCCGTCACATTTCGTGCACGTTAAGGACTTCTGTTGGAGTGGGTGTACAGGCTGCAGCGTCCGTCCCTTCGCTTGGGGTGTGTCGGGGGCGGGAAAGAAACCGTGTCGTTAACGTCGGTGAAAAACTCGTTGCGGGAGCGTTCAGTCCTCGTCAGAGTTGACAGCGTTTGCGGTAGCTCAGCTTCTTCATCCATCACTCAGAAACAGAATAAAAGAGTCGGATGTATCTCGCCTTGTAATTAAATCTCCCAAGAGTTTGTTCTTAACACGCAGGGATAAACTCGGCTGAGCTGAGGGGGCAGGCGAGGGGGCGAGGGCAGCGTGAGCCTTGGAAGAGCCGAGTCCTCGAGACCCTCGTTCTGCCTGTGACCTCGGCTGCTCCCAGCGCCTTCATTTGGCGAACGCGCTCGTTTGCGTTGGTCCTTACAAGGGACTCGATGCCCTTGTGGCTTCAAGGAGTCCGGCCCGAGGCTGCGCGTTGGTGCTTGCGGCGCCCCGTGGCCCGAAGAGCGAGGAGCCTGGAAGCCCAGCGGCGA